TTTATCATGATTATTGATCCAGTTGTGAGGCTTTTTGTTTTCTTCTTGTTAATTAATGTGTAATCCATTCTGAAGGCTGTAGTCTTTGATCTTCATCACTAAGTGCTTCAAGTTCTCTTTACTTTCAGCAAGCGAGGTTGTATCATTTGCATGTTGCAGGTTGTTAATGAGTCTTCCTCCAATCCTCATGCCCTGTTCTTTTTCATATAGTCCAGTTTCTTGGATTATATGCCCAGCATTCAGATTAAATAAGTATGGTGAAAAGATACAACCCTGATAAACATCTTTCCTGCTTTTAAACCATGCGGTATCCCCTTATTCTGTTCAGATTATTGCCTCTTGGTCTATGTACAGATTCCGCATGAGCACAATTAAGTGTTCTGGAATTCTCATTTTTCGCAGTGACACCTGTAATTTGTTATGATCCACACAATCAAATGTCTTTGCATAGTCAGTAAAACACAGGTAAACATCTTTCTGGTACTCTCTGCTTTCAGCCAAGATCCATCTGACGTCAGTAGCGATACCCCTTGGTCCACATCCTTTTCTGAATCTGGCTTGACTTTCTGGCAGTTCCCTGTCAGTGTACTGCTGCAACTGTTTTTGAATTATCTTCAGAAAAATTTTACTTACGTGTGATGTTAACAATATTGTTCAATAATTTCCACATTCTTTTGGATCCCCTTTCTGTGGAATGGACACAGATGTGAATCTTTTCCAGTCAGTAGACCAGCTGTCTTCCAAATTTCTTGGCGTAGATGAATGAGTGCTTCCAACGTTGTGTCCATTTGTTGAAACACGTCAGTCAGTATTCCCTCAATTCCTGGATCCTTGTTTTTCCCGAATGCCTTCATTGCAGCTAGAATATCTTCCTTCAGTACCATCGGTTCTTGATCATATGCTACCTCCTGAAGTGGTTGGACGTTGACCAGTTCTTTCTGGTACGATGACTCTGCGTATTTTTTCTGTCTTACTTTGATGCTTCCTGTGTCGTTTAATATTTTACCTGTAGAATCCTTCAGTATTGCAGCTTAAGGTTTGAATTTTTTCTTCAGTTCTTTCAGCTGGAGAAATGCCGAGCATGTTCTTCCGTTTTCTAACTCAAGGTCTCTGCGCATTTCATTATGATACTTTACTTTGTCTTCTCAAGCCGCCACTTGAAATGTTCTGTTCAGCTCTTTTATTTCATTGTTTTCTTCCATTTGCTTTAGCTACACTATGTTCAAGAGCAAGTTTTAGAGTCTCTTTTGATGTCCGTTTTGGTCTTTTCTTTCTTTCCTGTCTTTTTAATGACCTTTCGCTTTCTTCACGTATGTTGTCTTGACATCATCCCATAACTCGTCTTCTGTCGTTAGAGTTCAGTGCATCAAATCTATTCTTGAGATGGTCTCTAAATTCAGGTAGGATATACTCAGGGTCATACTTTGACTCTCGTGGACTTGTTTTAATTTTCTTTAACTTGAACTTGCATGTGAGCAGTTGATGGTCTGTTCCGCAGTTGGCCCCTGGGCCTTGTTCTGACTGATAATAGTGAGCTTCTCCATCATCTCTTTCGACAAATATAGTCGATTTGATTTCTGTGTGTTTCATCTAACGAGGTCCACATGTATAGTCACTATTTATGTTGTTGAAAAAAAGTATTTGCAATGAATAAGTCGTTGGTCTTGCAAAATTCTATCATGTGATCTCCAGCATCATTTCTCTCTCAAAGGCTGTATTTTCCAACTACAGATACTTTGTTTCCAGCGTTCGCATTCCAATCACTAGTAATTATCAGTGCATCTTGATTGCATGTTTGATCAATTTCAGACTGCAGAAGTTGGTCAAAATCTTCAGTTTCTTCATCTTTGGCCTTAGTGTTTGGTATGTAATTATGAATAATAGTTGCATTAATTGGTCTTCCTTGTAGGCATATGGATATTATCCTATCACTGACGTTATTGTACTTCAGGATAGATCGTGAAATGTTTGATAATGAATCTGATGCCATTCCTTTTCAATTTGTTATTCCCGGCAAAGTTGACCATATGGTTGTCCAATTCAAAATGGCCAATACCAGTCCATTTTAGCTCACTGTTGCCTAGGATATCAATCTTCATGCATTCCATTTCATTTTTGATAACTTCCGATTTTTCTAGATTCACACTTCGTACATTCCTTGTTCCGATTATTAATGAATGTTTGCAGCTGTTTCTTCTCTTTAAGTTGAGCCACATCAGCAAATGAAGGTCTCGAAAGCTTTACTCCAAACAC